TCCACATAACTTTCTATTAATGTGCTTTGATACAGCACTTTGGGAACATCCAACTTCTTTTGCAATTACCTTTTGAGGCTTTCCCTCCTTATGGAGGGTGTCAATGATGGTTTTCTGCACAACTGTCAGGTCAGCAGTCTTTCCCATGATTGTGATTCCTACTGAACCAGACTGAGAGACCATTTAAAGGCTCAGGAACTCTTTGCAGGTGTTATGGCTTAATTAGCTGATTAGAGTGGGACACTTTGAGCCTAGAATATTGAATATTCTAATTTTCTGAGATTGTGGATTTGGGGTTTTCATGAGCTGTAAGCCATAATCATCTTACTTATGACACATCACGGCTTGAACTATCTTGCTTTGCATGTCATGAGTCTATCTCATATATTAGGTTCACCTTTTAAGTTGCGTTACTGAAATAAATGAACTTTTGCACGATATTCTAATTTTTCGAGTTTCACCTGTACATAATACTCCTCCTATTTTTCCCATAACAACTCTGGGAAGTGGGTTATGATCAGAGAGAATGGTTGATTCAAATTCACTCAACCATCTTTCATCCCGAAAGCAGGACTAGAATTCAGAGTCTCCTGGTTTCTAGGCTAACACCTTAACCACTTGACCAAACTGGCTCTCAATTAACTAATTAATGTTTGTATTTACATTCATTGAAGAGGAAGGGATTACAAGAGAGTAAAAAGGCATACAATGGGGAATACATACTGAAAGCAATGGCCTGGTGTTACAAAAACAGGTTGGTGTTTTTCTCCAATATCTCCCATGTGCAAGGGGATGGGGATGGATCAGACACAAGAGAGTTTACCTACAGAAATCACTTGGTTTTTTATTTGCTCCCCATATATTCATTTCTTGTCAAAAGTCATATTCTAGAAGACAGCCATTACAGTTTTAGTACTTGAATTCAAACTGAAATTAATCCTCCCTCCAAACATATTTTGGCTTTAATGATGCAAATTAGTAATAATGTAATTCTATGTTTAATAAATTCACCATGCAGGTTAAGCTTTATTTGTATCTCTGAGGAACTTTGCACCGAAAAAGCAACCATGACCCATTTTATCTACTCTGCCAGGTCCTCTGTTGATCAAAAATTCACCAGAGATGTCTCACCTTGATTGTCAACAGACTGAGTTTAGTCCTAAAACGTACACAAATTTGCCCACTTCAGATAGTCTTCTGTGCTGGAACTCTCCGTACAACCCAAATAAAATTCACCTAAAGTTGTTCAATTGTGAAAAAATTCCATAATTTGTTTTTTACAGAAGCAATAAAGTTAACACTGTTTTAATTAATAATGAGGATTTTGATCTAACAGTTTTAATTTCTATTCCCCCAGATGCTGTTGACAACTGCTAGTTTATGAGTGTTTATCTTTTGCTGATTTTGTTGTTTAATCTGCACGGTGAAGCATTTATAAGAAAGTAGTAATATAATTCATTACTAATTTCTAATACTACTAATTTACTATGCAAAATAAATACTTTACATATATTAAATATTTATAAGTATATACTGTAAAATAAACATTGAAAATAGAGGAGCATACTGTGTATCGATAAGGTGTGCATGGCCTAGTATCTATGAAATAGGAGATACGATATGGGAATGTCTCAAATTAATCTGTTTCCTAGATGAATATAGGCATCTATTTCAAGGTGAGATAATTCTGATTCAAATGGGACTACCAAATAAGGAAAAATCAAAAGTACTACAAAATCAACTACTAACTGATCTCAAACTTCCTTCAACTGTAACACAATTACATCATAATTGTCCTTTAGGGATAAAACTAAGCATGCAATGAAAGTCGCGAGTAGGCAATCAGGTATACAAATACACAAGTGCAAAAGAAAACAAAGATAGTACCAATAGCAAATTGGCGCCATAGGTGCAATCCCAAAGCAATCCCTTGAACACCATCGGCAATGACAAATTCAATTCAGTCAATTGCAAAAGGCAGCTTTACTTAGAACAGCTTAAATCCGACGACAATTCCTTTAGCCCTATCAAACATCAACATCTGCTATCGCAGGTCCTTGAGCAGGACCCAATAAGTGGATAAAAATGCCAAATCCAGTCTTTACATCTTGTTAACTATGCTATGAACCATAATAATTTATTTATTATACTATTATTTAATTAAATTATTAATGTATTGAATTTATCAGACCTGAATATCCTAATTTTACACACATACACAAAACCTCCACTCTGCTTGAAACTGCCTATACAGCAGGAGTCCCCACCCCTTAGGAACCAGGTCATACAGCTGGAGGTGAGCAGAAGGCGAGTGATTGAAACTTTATCTGTATTTGCAGCCGCTCACTAGCACTAGTATCACCGCCTCAGCTCCACCTGAGATCATCAGGCTTTAAATTCTCAAACCCTACTGTAAACTGTGCATGCGAGGGATCTAGGTTGTGTGCTCCCCCGCCCCATTCATGGAAAAATTGTTTTCCACGAAACCAGTCCCCGGTATCAAAAAAGTTGGGGACTGCTGCTATATGGTTTCCTTAAATGCTATCTAAATAATACTTAGGTCCTTGGTTAGGGCTTGAACTATTACATTTTCACCACTCTTAGACTATGAATCTAACTGCAGATTACCCACACATTTATTATATAATAGTAGTTTATTATCACATTGTTGTAATAAATAAGTAAGTAAGTAAGTAAGTAAGTAAGTAAGTAAATAAATAAATAAATAAATAAAAGTTTATTAAATGTATATGCAGTCCAACAACCTATAAAGGATAGATTGGGAGGTACACAATGTGCTAAGTCATGGCTTGTGGAACCAGCTTGTTGATCAAGTCATGCTACTAGCCATAATCATATTTACAGTGATAGAGGTCAGATAATATGAGACAATCACACCACACTTTAACACCAGGTGTGAACCCAACCTAAGATACATACAGTACTGGGATTTGGAACAAACACTGTGTAAAATACGTGCAAGAAAGAATGAGGTGGGGCAGCTGTTCCGTTTCGCAGTATGAATTTCCTCAAAACAAAGGGATTAAGGAACTTCCGAGTGCATGCTTACTAAAGGAGCTGGCTTTCAGGATAAGATCTAAACTATGCCAGCAGTGACCCGAAGCTACTAGCAGCCTGCAAAATACAGTAATACCTTTTCCCCCCAGAAGACGGTGATAAGAGAAAAAGCTGCTGTGTCGGAAAGAAGAGACAGGCAAAGGTTACGTATTTGATTATAGGAAAACCTTTCCTGATTCTGCTCGAAACTGCCGAGAAACTCAAGTAGGAACATAGACTCGGAGCAAGACACCGACCGGGGGGGGGCAGCGAGAGGCTTGGTGGAACCAAGGACGTCCTTGCCCCAAAAACTTTCGAGCGCCGAGTCCGTCACGCTCAACGCGCGGCGCGGGACCATCCGGACGCCGCGAGCACCCGCCTCGCGCGACCAGCCTTTGCAGGATTCCGCAGCTAGGCGAAGGGGAGCTCCCCTCCTCTGTTCCCGGGAAGGCAGCGACCTCCCTCCCGCCCCGGGCCCCGGACTTCGCTGCAAACGGCACGGACGTGGAACGCCAAAGCCCAGTCACTCCACCGTTCGTCCTGGCCTCCCCTCCGCCCAGGTAGAAGCGGTGCAAGCGCCACTCCGCCCGCCCGCCGACCGCCTCCACGGGACGCGACTCGCTCGCTCGTTCGCGCTCACCCACCCAGAAGAGCACATTGGAGGCGAAGAGCAGGTATTTGGCGCAGCAGCTGACCTGAGGACCCTGGAAGTGCTGGGCTTTCCCTGGCATGGCGAGCGCGGGGCCTGAGCTCACAGCCCCATGCTGCCCCTCCGCCGAGGCCCAGCGCCGCCGCGGGATCGCCTTGTCCAGCCCGCCCCCTGGCGGAGTTGAGGGAGAGCTGCTGCAGCGGCACGCGCGTGCACGGTTCTCTACCCGGACTTCGGCAGAGCCCGTATTCCCACGCTCCTACCGGTACCACCGCCGCCCCTCTCCGCTGGAGTCTCGGAAGACGTGTCCGGTATGGGAACTCGGAAGCACAGCTGTAGAATCCTCAGTCTGCTGAGGCCCAAAATAGAAGCGCTTCCTTCCAAGACATAATGCAAACGCAAAGAAATTTGCTTTTTTTAAAAAAAATAGTTTATTTGCAATAAATGTTTATTTCCTCATCTTACCTATAACTTGTATTTTATTGCAATTTAATGTGATTGTGTTTATGTGTGTGTGTGTGTGTGTGTATATGTACCGTATATGTTAGGTCTTTTTTACCCCAGAGGAATGGGATGTAGGGGAAGGTATACAAATTGCTCTTAAGTTAAGAGCAGGGGTAGGCAACCTTGGCTCTTTTATGACTCATGGCTGGCTCAGGAATTCTGGGAGTTGAAGTCCATGAGTCATAAAAGAGCCAAGGTTGCCTACCCCCGAGTTTAGAGTGTTTAGACTACAATATGTTTTTTTACTTTCTATTATCATCATCTCAGAAAAAGCAGCCCCTTTTAGTCACAAAAAATTCCAGTCAACCTGCTGGTGTCCCAGTGATCTCTCCCACCTGGGGAGCTCTGTGCAAACAAAAATGCACACTATATACAGAGAAAACAGCCGTTTTAGGCAAGTACTAAAGGAAAAATGGCGATGAGGTTCTGTCGTGAGAGGAGAGAGCAGAATAGAGCAAACATTGCTGCCTTTCATGACAGACCAACTGCTGAAGATGTGTCTTATTCTAACAGAAGAATACTCTCTGATCTGCATTTTAAGAATTAAATCCAGAGAGAACTTCACATTAATAAACAGGAATTAGTAATATTAGTTCAGGTGTTGGAGGGGGGCTCAGGAGAGCTAGATGCTGAGGCTGCTGGAGCTATGGAGGCTTACTGGGCATTTTAGATGCAAATATTTTCTTGGCCCATTATAGAGTTGTGGGGTAATAATAGAAGTGATGTCACTGTTTTAATCTGGAAAAAAGACATTCAATAAGTAACAAATAAAAGTAATCAGGTTCATATAGGTAGTCAAAACGTACGGCCACAATTGGGACCAGAATTTGTTTGCTAAGTGATACAGTCATTCAACGAATCATCGCAGGGCTGGACCTGGTTTTATGACCATTTTTACTGAGGTCATTACGCAAATCACACGGTATTAAGTGAATCCAATTAAGTTTCCCCAATTGACTTTGGTTGTGGAAGCTGGCTGGGAAGGTTGCAAATCAGATCACATCACCACAAGATACTGCAACCATTGTAAATGCAAGCCAATTGCCAAGTGCCTGCAATAAGGAGACCACAGATGCGGTGCAATGGTCATAACTTTGAGGTCAGGTCCCAAGTCACTTTTTCTGAGGTTTCTGAGGTAAGACCAGACTTGACATACTATGTCTAGTTCTGGTCACCATAATACAAAAAAGATGTTGAGCCTCTAGAGAGTGCAAAGAAGAGCAATGAAGATCATTGGGGGTCTGGAGGCTAAAACTTATGATGAATGGCTGTAGGAACTGGATATGTCTAATCTAACAAAGAGAAGGACAAGGGGTGACATGATAGCAGTCTTCCAATATTTGAAGGGCTGTCACAAAGAATAGGGGGGTCAACCTATTCTCCAAAGTACCTGAGGGCAAGACAAGAAGTAACAGATGGAAAAATATCAAAGAGAGAAGCAACCTAGGAGAAATTTCCTGACAGTGAGAACAAACGATCAATGGCTTCCCTTCAAAAGTTGTGGGTGTTCCATCACTGGAAGTTTATAAGCAGATATTGGACAGCAATTTCTCCAGAATGGTATATGGTTACCTGCTTGGGCAGGGGTTGGAGTAGAAGACCTCCAAGGTCCCTTCCAACTCTATTCTGTATGTGTGCTCCATAATTATATAGATATCATTGTCTCTGAATAAGAAAGAAAGTGGGGAGAGATGTTCGAATAAAGGCTAAAACGTCATTCAAGCACATCCCTAAGATGATTAATGATGGACTACTACTACATTATGTTGAAATACAATACTTCTTCACATCTTTCTTATAGTAACTTTGGCTATTTCCTGTCTTCCACAAAAAGGTCCCCTCCCCATCCTTACTATATTCTTCCTGTCAGTTTAGCTACCCAGTTCCTGAGTGAGCTTTCCTCTTGACAGCTATTTCAGTAGACAAATCGTTAAGGCCCTATTTTGCCATTTCTTTGCCACTTAACATTTATTAATAATTCACTTTTCCTCTTTCTTCATCTATTATGTTAGCACAAGTGTTATTTAATATGAAACAGGAATGTAATCATTAAAAAAAGCTTCCCACCTACATATCTTATCTGAGTAATAGTGTAATCTATTAGCAACCCATATAAACTTTATGTACTAAATTCTGAGCACAGGGATTAAAGCTGCAGTGGGCGTTCTCCACATAGGATGCATTTTTTTTGTTTCTATAATTAACCTCTATTTAACCTAATCCAATCAGGCAGTTCCCACATATAAATATTTTAAGCATTTTTTTAAAAAAATGATGGTTAGAAAGAGACTTCTGGTGTATAATCATTGATGTTCTCGTTAATCATTAAAATCCATTATCCAAGTTATTTAACTCTGCCTGAGCCAGGGGCCAAAAGACCTGAGCAAAAAATCCTACCTGTTATAAGCAGTAAATGCTCTGGTTTTCGTTTGTGTTAATAAAAGAATAACAAAGAATGGGCCTTTATCTGGGGAAAGTGGTATCCATTAGTTTTAGGTACATCTGAAGCCTTTGGAGTTTGTACTGTGATTTGAAAGTTACTATATCTTTGTCTCTAAATAGATGTGAGATGGGTAGCATATATAGATTAAGTTAGATTCCACATCAAAGAGAGTAACAGTACTGCTGATGGCTGTTCTAGCAGAGATAAAAGTGGGTTTTGATTTCGGTCTGCTCTTCATAATTTAGTGCAATCATATAAGGTCTGGAACACATCAATTTTCATTCCCACCCCTACAGATGTACATATATATGCACATATGCACCCATATGTGCATACATCCTGTAGAATTGTTTCGCTTAGGCTGTACTTTTTCCACTGCAGATGGCCATATTTATGTAGGCATTTCAGGGCTAGTTATTACAGGCAAACATCCTGTTGCTTGCATTATTCATAGCAATTAATGAATAGCAGTGTTGAATTGCCCAGCACAAACCTGATGTCATCTCAATTGCAGAGGCTAATCATAGGAAGTCAACTCATTGCCCTTCAAATCAGCTGGGTAGCATTCTTCACAGCTACACAAACTGTTTCAGGGTAGACTGACTATCACTGCTTCTTTCGGTTCAACGGCTCTTGCACCCAGCTCATTCGGTATCTGACAGAGGAAGGGCTTAAATGCTGGTGGCTGAAGTTAACAACACCAGAATATGTTTATGTGCTACCCAAACTGTACTTGAGAACTGGTTCTGTAACTTTGAGTTCCTTTAAGCCCTGTACATAAATCTTCAACAGGAAAACAATTGCATGATTGAACCACTTTTTCACAAAATGCATTTCCTTTGGAAATAGAAAAACATTATATCTTTTTACTGAAAATAAAGTATTTTTCTATGTGATATCTCACCCCGAGGCCATGTAAAACTTGAAGGGAGCCTAGTTTTGGGGAACAGATTAGAAGCAAAGAGGCAAGTTCTGTTTCTTGGCAAGTTCTTCTGCTGCCTTGGTACCAAGTAGTTCTCACAACCCTTTTGACCTCATTTAAGTCTTTTCTGATCACAGAACTAGAAAGTTACATGAAGCACATTCTTCTTTAAGTGACATTCTCTTAGCTTAAAGGCTTAAACTTAGCTTAAAATTGAGGGTAACAGGAACGATTTTGCCCCCAAGTATAAATGCTTTCCATATAACTCTAGTCAAGAATCCAGAATGCTTGGTTACATTTTAATGGGAAGAGTAGTTACATGCTAAATCTTCATGCAGCTCATCTTTAGCCATCCTGCCCAGGGTTGAGTTCAAGCCCAGTGAGCTCACACAACAAATCTGTTCTTCATAAGGGAGCCACTCTTGGTAGCTGTGTCTGCATGAGCCTGATAACCAATTACCACTTTTGAAGAGAGGCCCAGGTGTTCCTTATACACACGCCTGAAAGAGAGAACGAGGTAATTTTGTGTGAGCGCCATTAAAGATATCAATCCCCATTGGTTTTTATTTCACACATTTCTTATGGTTCCTTTTAAAGAAATCCCATTTAATAAATCTAGAGCCATTTACAATAAAAGAATTGCAATGAAAAAGGAAAAACAATAAAAACATACATTAAAACATTTTGCAAAATACAAAATACAAAGTGAAATCCATAAGATATATTAAAATGTGAAGAAAAAGTAAAAGCAACACGTTAACATCATGGCAATACTCTAATGCCTGACGTTGGTTTGTTTTTGGTTGTTTTTTAAATCTCAGCTGATTATATGTGTATTGTTTTTACAGTTGTGTTTTATTTATTTTTTTAACACTAGCTGTACCCAGCCACGCATTGCTGTGGCTCAGTCTGGTTAATGTTGCTGTAGCGTGTGTTGCTTTTACGTCCAACAGATGGTGCTGTTTTTTTTAAAAAGCATGTTTTTACCTGTCACAGGTGTGACATCTATATAATAGTAGGTATATAAAAACACGTGCGTATTCAAATGCAACATTGTGTCAAAATTTCAAAGCAATCGGTGAAGAACTTTCAGAGATTTAAGATTTTGAACAAACGAACATTTACATTTTTATTTATATAGATTAGCTGCCCAGAGTTATAATTTTGAGATAAACAGCCATATAAATTGAGAGAGAGAGAGAGAGAGAGAGAGAGAGAGAGAGAGAGAGAGAGAGAGAGAGAGTGTCTAGGAGAATTAATCTGTCTTTCCTAGGTGCCAAAAGGGCACGAAACATGGTATCAGACTTTCTAAAGTCCATGGGACCTGCCATCTCTCAGATAAGTACATTCCTCAATCTGGAAGGGCCCTCTGAAGGTGACACTCACCCAATATGAATTACTCCATCCCGGTTCTCTGCCTCCCGGGTCCAAATGGCAATTTTGTCCCCTTTGGCACGAATATTGATGACTGCCCCACAGACATCATCACTGTAGTCACAGAACATATCTCCAATCAAGCACAGCAACTACAAAAAAGGGGTAGGAAGAAAATCCACATGAAATATACAGGGAACCAGATATTAGCATTTGTCTGATGTACCAGGTTTTTCCTGCCCTGAAGAGTTTAATATTGATATTGGGGGAAAAAAGAATAGAATCTTGAGAGATACTGTAAATGAGAACTAATCTTTTCTACACACTATGAACCTAATAAGTGAAAAATGCTTAAATTAAACATGTGTCTACATTCTTGGGCTGCAAGAATCCGAATGGCCAACACAACAAAAAAATACAGTTTCCTATATGTAGTTAGTTAGTTCTCTTAGTTGCCATCCAAAGGTCTGGATTTGTGTGACTCATTTCTGGTAGCCCTACTGTGTTCAGGGTTACACCCTCTCTGTTCAACATCTTTTTTTATCTCTTTTCCAATACGTTTTTCTTCTTCTGTCCAGTAAGCTGTTAGAAAAGAGGGGGAAGGGAAGCACACCAGATGTCTAACTGATTGCTTTTAAACACTTTTTAAATTAGTCTGAGGGCATATTGCCCATCTCCGAATAAGCGAGTGTGGTCTCATTTGTGGAAGAAAATACTGAAACTGAACAATTATATAAGTAGCTCTATCTACTAAAGCGAGACAGAGATGAGCTTCTGGATCCATTACCGAAATATGGCCACAATCCAGAGAACCACCCGGTTTCAGAAATAAATGGAGCAGGGGGAAAGATATAAACTGTATTCTGCTTACTTACAGTCTCTAACCAGAAACGGTCAAGTTCTGTATGCCGCTGCTGCTTGGCCAATGTGATAAGCCAACGACCACCGTGCTTGTTCCAGTTATCTTCCCACATGGGTTCAATACCATCCTGAAAGAAAAAAATGTTAAAGATAATAACTGCTTGCCGTGTACAGAATAAGGAAGATGATCTTGATGAAGACATTCAAGTTTTGTTGCCAAAGCAACAAAAAATAAAACACGTTTTAAGTCCAGAATGTCTAGATAACATTTGGAAGAAATTCAGACAGGCACCATCCTAATTCACTGAACTCTAAGGAGAAGGAGGAGGGACAACAGAGTCAGACTTGCAATCAGTCTCAGTAAAAGTAATTTTAAGATTCTTGCTGTTGATTTCTTGGTCTGGCCTACCAAATGGATGTGTGTGAGTCATACACATTCTCACTATGTGTTAGATTTCAGATACATTCAGATGGGAAGCACTGGTTTTATGCCAGCAAGTAAGGCATAAAATTAAATCATTATTCCCTAATATGGACAACTTCTAAATATACTGACTTCCCAGCCAGCATAATTATTGCAGATAAAATCCTATATTAGAACAATGCACGAATCGAGAGAGTTAAGCGTCACAATAAAGGGATTCAAAGTATACTACCGGTATAAACTCTCTGTTTACCTTCATATAAGAGACCCTCATGTCACAATTCAATGAGTTTGGGGTCAGGTTGTTGGGACTTAACAAGTCCTGGAAGAGAACTTACTTTGAAAAGAGAGTAGTCACAGCCAGACGTCAGCTTGCTAGCTAGTTGGATATGACTATATAGCCTGCAATTTCAAGAACAGGAGAGAGATGTTAGCAATATAATTGAATGACTTTATTTCAATAAGAAACCAAAATTGCATCGGTATCTCGAAAACCCTAACCCAGAAATCTTTTCACTAAATCCGCGTCCATATCACAGGAAAGCATTATTAACTTCCTACAGCACTCAGCTGGCCTAGCTGCATTTTACGTATTTCAGCTGACATTTTTAGCAAGGAGATACAGTTCATTTTCCAAACAATGTCAGTGCTATGCATTTTACCTTCATAATTATTTAAGGAATAGTTGAACAAAGATAAAGTACTCAGTTCCTAGAATTTTCTCTATAGAATGAACCAATGGGTAGGAAGGAAGGAAGGAAGGAAGGAACAATGATGTTATGGGTGAACAGTTTTCTCATTGGCTCACTCTTAGGTGTTTCAGGTGTTTTAACATTGTTTTTACAGATCCTTAAAGGGGAGAGTTGGCTCAATGGCTTCACAGATGTCCCTTCACAGCAATTGCCCTGAACTGGGAGGATGGGTGCATATGATCAGACAAATATACACCATCCTTCTGATTCCATTTTAACATTCAGATAGGATTAATGCAGACTACAGTATTTTGAGTCTGCAGATTCTTCTCATGCAAAAGAAGCCAGGGTGGACAAAACATGGATTCATCTTCCCCCTTTCTTCCACAGTAGATAGCAAGACTGATCCTTGATTTTTTTTTTTTCCCTTTCCACGTGGAGGCTAGCCATTTTTCTTTCTCTTGTGTGCAAAGTGGTGGTGGTTTGCTACTCCAGGACCATTTCTCCTTTTCCTTATCACTGTCAACCTTCAATATCCTATTCCTAGTGACTGTTTGCAGATAGTCCTTAGAATATATCTTCCCTTTCTCCTCCACTATAATTATATGTAAATACAGCTATAGCTACTGGGGAAAGCACCTGATTGTGAGATTACAATCAGCTATACTTTTAGCAGTTGTTGTTTTTTTAAAAAAAAATATTTCATTGATTTTTTACAATAACAATCTTTAGTGCTTAGTAAACAGTGGGTTGTCTGGGTTCATATATTTGAAAAAAACAATCAATAATGATTAATCTTTATAATTCCATGATCAATATATTAATTAATAGTATGTTTCCTTGATCTTCCCTTCTTCCAATAGTATTCTCCTTTGTCAACATTAGATAAATATAATTCTTAATATTTTCAATGCATACAAGGTTGGATATAAACATTTTTTGTGTTTGTACAAATAACCATGACATCCATATATAACATCTTTTCTAATTAACTTATGTTTCAATTGTATTTATAAAAGTCATCTTGTTAGGTCTCTATGTGTCCTGTTTTCAAAAATTTTATTTAAATTTAATTTCCTCTCAGTATTCAAACCATTCTTATCAGTCATAGTTTTCTCAAAGTTGATTACCTAAATATCCAAACTTTTCATTTACAATCATACACTATCCCAATATTTTCATATTTCATATATGATAAAAATACTATACTACTTATATATCTTACATAACATCCACATATAACATCATTTCTGAAAGGCTTATATTTCAATTATATTTGTAAAGGTCATCTTGTTAAGTCACTATATGTCCTGTTTTCAAAATTCTTATTTAAGCTTAATTTCCCCTCGGTATTCAAATCATTCTTCTCAGTCATAATTCTCTCAAAATTAATTACCTTTAAATGTCCAAACTTTCTATTCACATACATCATCTCAGTATTTTAACATTTCATATATTGTAAAGAATACTATACTAGTTATATCTCTTATCCCTCTTACTATAGGGCCCCTTTATATCTATTTTTTTAATCATATTCAAACAAATGTTTAATCATGTAGTATTCCATCTGGTAAGTCGAATCAGATCTCTTAAGTCTAACTCTAGCCTTCTTCTTTTGCCAAATAACTTTCCAAGTTAGTATATTCTGCTTGCCAGGAAGTTCCTGTATTTTTGTAAGTGTTGTTAGGAATGAGAAGGACAAGTTGAGTAGGATGTATGCTTTTTGTCTCCCAGACTCTGATGATTTTCTTGGCAGCTCTATAATCCAATTTGTTAAATCTTCTTTCTTATCCTCCAATTTGTTTTGAAGTTCTGATGGATAAAATATCTTTTCCATTTTCATTGTTGTGGTAAAATCTTATAGATTTTTTTTCTGTTTATATTAAGTTGTAGTTCTACTCATTTGTAGCTTCCCTGTTTAAGTTATTTTCTTCTAGTTAATGTTCCGTTAACTGATTTGTTTGTTCATTCTTTATCGTCGTTTTCTGAGAGTTTTTTAATTGTAAGTTTAGATTGAAGATGTACTCATATATATCATCAAAGTTGTTTTTGATCTCATTGTGGTTTGAAATTATTGTCATTTGAATCTGTCGTAGCATTGCGTACATTTCCTCCTAAAAGTGCATGTCTTGTCTTGGAGTATTACTCCTGCAGATCTCTGATGTTCCAGGCGAGGTCTTTCAAAAGGGAATATTAGATGTGGTTTCCTGTCCCTTTTAGATAAATATGCAATATCCATTTTGTCTCCTCCCTCCAAATAGTCTTTCACCAGTACCATAGTATCTGTAATTAGCCTTATCAAACCAGCCAATCTCAAAATCCAAACAACCAAATCTTATATAGTTCTTATCTTTATATATGGTTTTTGTAATCCAATTGTCAAGGCATCAGTGAAAGCAGTATTTTATAACAATTCTTCTATTCAGGGATCAATTATCAACCAGTCAGAGTTGCAATCCATTTAGCAGTTGTTTTAAATGCATTAGAAGAAGAGTAACTTCCCAGTAACTTTCTTTTTCAGCAACTGCTCAGATTTTTTTTTTTTTTTTTGTAAACAGCAGCAAATGCATGTAAGATGTTCTGGAAACATGGATGGAAAAGAAGCCTGCTAACTATGTATTTTTCCTTTTTGTGTGAAGTTGGGGAGGTGGAGTATTTTATTGCTCCAGGACAATTAGTAGCTTAGGATAGGAAACTGGATTAATTTTATTAAACAACAACAATAACACCCTGCTAATTATTAGCTAGAAGACCTCTGGATGCTTACTGAGTTCCTGTGTTGCAATGTTTGCAGCAATTTACAAGGGCGCTATTGGAATTGCCCACAGAGCTGGCATCAAATTTTGTAGATTGCAGTTCACTTGGGAGTTACGGTATAAGACTGGTTTTGCTGCAGTACTGTAGGCTAAGATAATTACTTCCCTGAAAATGAGGATCCAGTCTGCATCTCAAATGCAGGTGCACCTCAAGAATTCTTTATCAGGAAGTTAATATTGATCTAAATGCCATGTAGGAAAGAATTGCTTTCCATAACTGATTTGTTTAGGAAAACCTTTGCATCCACTGAATGTTGAGACTCTAGAAAGAGTACAGAGAAGAGCAACAAAGATGATTAGGGGACTGGAGGCTAAAACATATAAGGAACGGTTTCTGGAATTGGGTATGTCTAGTTTAACAAAGAGAAGGACGAGGGGGGACATGATAGCAGTGTTCCAATATCTCAGGGGCTGCCACAAAGAAGAGGGAGTCAAGCTATTTTCCAAAGAGCCTGAAGGCAAGACAAGGAGCAACGGGTGGAAGCTAATCAAGGAGAGAAGCAACCTAGAACTAAGGAGAAACTTCCTGACGGTTAGAACAATTAACCAGTGGAACAACCTGCCTCCAGAAGCGGTGAATGCGCCAACACTGGAAGTTTTTAAGAAGAAACTGGACAGCCATTTGTCCGAAATGGTATAGGGTTTCCTGCCTGAGCAGGGGGTTGGACTAGATGACCTCCAAGATCCCTTCCAACTTTATCATTATTATTATTATTATTATTATTATTATTATTATTATTATTAGTAGTAGTAGTAGTAGTAGTAGTAGTAGTAGTAGTACTTACAGAATTACAAATACCCCAAGGCATTGGAATAAAGGAAGATCCTTCTCTATATCAATAAATTATATTCTAACAAGCTCCCGTATTTGTTACCAGTGAAAGAAAAAATAGCAAATGGCATTTGTAGTATTAATAATTTATACAGAAGTTCTCCAGAATCTTCTATATTTTTCCTCTGACCAATGTGAACATACTGCTGTTTGATCCACATGCTAAATGATGTAACCTACAATCATATTACTTCTTTGGGGTTGTATGACTGAAATATTAATGTGCGCGGAAGGGGATAAGGAAACACTCACGCCCAGAAGTCTTCCACAGTATCAAACTTGGTAACAAGCCGCAAGTTATTCTGCCAGGTTTTGCTCTTGTCATTTTTGAAAAACCATAAGGCCCACCTATGAATTAAAGGAAGGTACAGTGAAGTTACTAAACCAGAACAAGGTCAGGGATATGGTCTTTAAAAGCTAAGCCAAATTATCCTCATGCTTCTTAAGGCTTATCTTATGGAACCGATAAGTGCTCAGCTCACTCTAAGTGTAATCAGGACTGATATTTGTAGCCAATACATACTAAAATTTCATTCTAGAATACCTGAAAAAAAAATCAGGCTTTTCGCCATTTCTCCTTTCCTTGCAAAAAAAACCCCTATAAAAATGAAAGTTGGATGATCTTAAGCATTTGATAATGAACAAATACATTATTTGAAGAATGTGATTCCTACTAATAAGAAAAAGAAGACCGAAGACAGTTAATATATCCATAAGCTGAAAGTATTTTCCTATGTGATATCTATAAAACCTGTAGATGCATAGAAGTTTTTTAACTGCTCTTTGAGAACAAAGTACCAAATATTTCTTGGAAATATATACAGTATGCTTCCTTTACTGACATTTAGATGTATGTGTTCAGGACATTTATAGTTCATAAAAGGAATGGCAGGTAAGAAAAAAGAATATTGAAGCCCAAGATCAGGACATTGGACATAATAAAAGAAAATGGTGTGCCCCATTTTACTGCTAATACCTGTTCTGTAGCGGATGCTTGGTGATGTGCTCCATAACTGTCTCTCCTCCCTTAGTCTTGTGCTTCTGATGTTCTTCATGTGTGCTTGCCTAATGTTTGAACAAAGGAACAATGCTATAGCAATTGACAAGACATTCATTTTTTTCCAATTTTTTCCTGAAGTCTTTACTGGCTAAACAATAACACAGGCTAAAGATGATGAAGCCTGAAGCAATAAGACATTACAGATTAAATCAGGGGTTCTCAACTTTGGCAACTTTAAGACTTGTGGACTTCAACTCCCAGAATTCCTCAGCCAGCTTTGCAGTTTTGCTGGCTGAGGAATTCTGGGAGTTGAAGTCCACAAGTCTTAAAGTTGCCAAGGTTGAGAACCCCTGGATTAAATAAAAGCCCATAGGCTTTTCAGAAATTGAGAAGCCCATATATTTCAGGCCCATGTTCTTTCTCAAAAGCAAATGCAAAACTAGAAAGCTTTTATCTGGACATACAGCATTAATAGACAAAACTTATCTATGTGCCTTTTCTCCAGAATGGGAGAAGCAAAATATCTCTCAAAGTTTAGAAAGTTTCATATCCCAAGTATACTAAGATTCCCCCCCCCCCCCGACCTGTTCTAGCCACAAGGAAAAACTGCTCTATAGTTTCATGTATTCATGATCCCAAACAGACCTAGTTCCTGCAACATGAAACATCTCCTGGAAAAGATTGAGCCACCATCTCAAAGGACAGGAGACAGAGTGAATAAACCAAGGCAATTTTTGGCTAAACTCTACTAGCAACATTACAAGCTGCCAAATGTCCAACTTTTTCCAAATCTTTAGTCAAAGTAACAGGAAAACAAACAGTGCCATCTTCATTTTACACAACAATCCCTAAGGCAAGCAGAGAAGAAGGCTGACATTGTTAGACTTTGCAGGTTTTGTTTAAAGAGCTAAGGAGAGTAAATAAAGCTATGAAGGAAAACTTACTGCCCAATGAGCTGATGGTCTCTTTTTCATATTAGCTAGTTTAGGCAAGGTATCTTGGGCCTGCCTGTGTTTTCTTCAAGCAACAGCTTGAGAATTGTTTTCATAAGCAGAAACTTTATATTCCTGTTCCCTCAGTCTTCTCCATTTAGTGTTGTAGAATCATGGTAGACACAATTTATTTGTTCTCCTAGCATAGATTCAGCACCTTTAGTAGGCCTACTATCACCATTACAGTAACAAGAAATAAGATTTCCCAACATGCAGAGTATTTTGTTATACTTAAAGGTACAGGAAATCCCCATTCTAGTTAGGAGTACAGGAACTTTGCTAGCTTTCTATGCAGTTTAGGCCATATAATGTAGGTCTTCTGATTTATCTAGGCTGTGTAAGATCAAAGTTTGAAATACATGCCAGGTCAGAAGGGTTTACTATGTGTACTTGCTTGGAAGTATAATGTATCCCATTGCATTCAATTGAAGTCCTGCGTGATACAAAGCAAAACTTCACTTCCAATGAGTGAATCAGCCTAGCTCCCCAACCAAAATGAGTTCTTGAGAAGTTAAACATGGAGTGGAAAAATTAACACTCCATTTTTGTGAGTACTATCTCTGCAGCTTGCAACTCAAGAAAAAAGGAGTCAGAAAACACTCAGCAAAAATAACTAAATTCTGTATTACGTACCATTGCTGCTGCCATGATTTACGCAATATTTTTTTTCCAATTCTTTTTACTTAGAAGGTATTTTGAGAACTCTTTAAATCCCCAAACCAGACAGGCTCTTCTTTGAAAGAGGAGAGAGTTGAGTGCATGTCATTTGTAGAATCTGTTAACTTCCTTTATTGGGTGGAGCATGACATGCAGGGCAAAACAAGGCCATTAGAATGCCTTTAATGTTAAAGGACCTGAGTCAATTTATTTATGACAAATTAGAACAAAAACAAAATAGAGATCTGGGCAGGTGGGAAGGAGAGTCACTGTAAAACTGAAACAAGAGGAATCGGAACAGCAATTATAGAATAGAAAATGGATGTGGGTTTATTTTTTAAAAGAGGCTAGCATTTGAAGAACAGGTCATTTTTTCAAGTCAAATTACACCAGATTCCATCAAGGTTTTAGGAGGCTCTTCAGAGGTGGGATTCAACCAGTTCGCACCAGTTCAGTAGAACCGGTAGCTAATTTTGTTGCCCAGGCCCAGAATGGACTTCAGGAAGCGGCATCCACACAGAGAACGGGTTGTTCACATAGTTGAATTCCACCACTGAGACTCTTGAACATCATGTTGCCAGTTGTCATCTATCAGCCTGTCCTTGTCTGCTCATTCTGTCTGGTCCCAATCCACACCAAGAGAGGGCAAGATAACTGGATGCTGTACCTAGGAAGAGCTTAGGACAGTGATGGCGAACCTTTTAGAGACCGAGTGCCGAAAAAACTGGCCCCGCCCCCACTGCACCCCTTCCCCACCCCTGCTCCACCCCACCCTGCCTGCGCGCAGGGCCACTCACCGCCTCCAGGGCCCACCGCAGATCGCCCAGGCAGCCCAGCGCCATGGCAGCCACGCTTTCTGCCCGCGCCCCGCAGCATCAACTGTGCACGTTGGGGCGTGAGGGCAGCGTCTTGTCTACGCTGCCTGGCTGCCATGTCCTTGGCTGCGCTGCTCTGCGTGGGCCACGCTCGGGAGCAACTCTCCTCCAGGGGGGCTGCTGGTGAGGAGGGGGTCACGGGGGTAGGCAAGACTGGGGCAACGACACGTGTGCCCACACAGAGGGCTCCGAGTGCCACCTCTGGCACCCGTGCTATAGGTTCGCCACCACTGGCTTAGGATATTTTCCTGTTTCAGGCCAAGATCATGATCAAAATTCAGATGTTTGGCAACTGACTCATGTTTATGACGGTTGCAGTGTCCGTTTTGCAACCTTTTGACAAGCAAAGTCAATGGGGAAGCCAGATTCACTTACCCACCGTGTTACTAACTTATCATCTTCAGGGATTCACTTAACAACTGTGGCAAGGTCATAAAATGGGGCAAAACTCACTTAACAAATGTCTCACTTACAACAGAAATGTTGGACTCAATTGTGAGTGTAAGTCAAGGACTACCTGTACTGTGTTTTGAGTAGAAGCTTGAACCATGTAACTATGTATAGAGCAATGTGCCCCCTCCCCGTTCCATCTATCCATCCATTCATCTATCCATCCATTCATCTATCCATCTCCATCCGTCCATCCAGTTTGGCATAGTGGTGAAGGTGCTTGGGCTGAAAGCCAAGAGACTGTGAATTTCTCCGAAAATAAGAATGGATCTTCTTTTTTTTTTGCCTCCAAAAGAGGCACCAGGTCTTATTTTGGGGGGATGTCTTTTATACTCACTGGCACTGACAGCCCCGCCCAGCCTGTCCACTTCTTCTAAGGCTGAAGGAGCAGCTTCATTCTGCAGCTGCATTCCAGCCTTCATTTCGCAGTCAGGCCTTTCCGGAAGGCATCTGCAGCCGAGTACTAAGCTATGAATTGAATCCATAGCTTGGTTTTGGCTGCAGAGATCTTGCAGAACTGAGCTATGGACTGAATGCATAACTCGGTTCTCGGCTGCAGTGACCTTCTGGAAAGGCCTGTGACTGAGAAATGCAGGCCTGGCTGCAGAAGACGCTGCAGAAGAAGTGGGCCAGCGAGGAGAGGCCTGGCTGCAAGGTAAGTGGGTGCGGGGCGGGTGGGGCACCTCCACACCCCCACCCCTGCCCTAGCTTGATTTTTAGGCATGCACCTCACCCCAAAACTAGGGCTTATCTTTGGGGTAGGCCTTACTTTTGGGGAAACCAGAATATATAGGCAGGTTGGTCTAGTGGCGAAGATGGGGGCTTAAAAGCCAGGAGATGCTTAGGCATGAAAGTCAGCAGGGTGAACTTGAATCAGTTGCTCTCTCTCACTTCAGCTTACCTCACATGATTGTTGTTGAGAGGAAAATAGGTGGAGGAAGGAGTATTAATTTTGTTCACTGCCTTGAGGTATTTATAAAGTAGTAAAGGTAAAATAAAAAAATGTAAATAAATACATAACAAATAAATGGTTAATAGTTTTCCAAAATAAAGTAGCTTTCAACTATGCAATCAATAAAATCCAGCAGTGAACTAATTAATCTGATATTCAAGTTTCTGAAAAGAAATGTATATTTATATTTATATATAAATATATTTAAATAGAATATAATAAATAGAAATATACACTTGAAAAACAGTGTTTAGTGTTTTGATTTGTCACCTCTTTTATATGGGCAGGGTGTTTGAAGTTATTTATAAACTGCATGAAAGGCAATAATTCAGCTAGCAGAAAGGAGAAGCTTCATTCATTTCCTGCATGTCTTGCATCTTTCTTTACACACACATACACACACACACACACACACACACACACATTTCTTGCCAGGAAAAAAGTGCAACCCTGATTTCAAAAATACAGAAAAAGCAAAAAAAAAATTCAAAGGCTGTCAAATTCCAAATAACCCAAACTTTTCACTGATAAATTTAATATACAGAAATAACTTTAAAAGTATAAGGCTTTATTGTCATTTGTTTATACAGCAGGAAATAATTTTTAAAAAGTTTTTACTTTCTTTTGTTTTCATAACCAACAAATGTAGCTTTAGGTTGATTTCTTCTGATCTTTTGAGAACCAGCTCTTAACTACAATGATTAGATTCATACACTGTGTTAAGCTATGCTATGATTTCGTTTGGCATGTTGTGTGAAATTGGCATTGTGTTTCGTAATTATATTTATGGCTTTAGAGCAGACATGTAAAACTCGCAACGTCACGTGACATCATGCAACGTATCGGGACGGTTTTGCCATTGCTGGCAATGGGGTGGGTGCGGCTTCCGCGTGACGCGTCCAGCCCATGGGCTGGCAGTTTGACACCCCTGCTTTAGAGTGTTTTGCGTCAATAGCAATAGCACTTAAACTTATATGCCGCTTCATAGTGCTTTACAGCCCTCTCTAAGTGTCAACATATTGCCCCCAACAACCTGGGTCCTCATTTTACCGACCTCAGAAAGATGGAAGGCTGAGTCAACCTTGAGCAGGTCAGGATCAAACTGATGGCAGTCAGCAGAGTTAGCCTGCAATACTGCATTGTAACCACTGCGCCATCATGCTTCATCAATCCAGGCAGTTGAACTTATTAAACAAATTATAGTTAAGGAAACACAGGGATATTATTACAGGTGACCCCTGACAAGCCTATACAGAGAGAATGCAGAGTAGCTGATTTGGAACTGAAACTGAATCAGTGACATAAAATGCAGTAACATTGAGATTCATGCAAGCTTTCTCAAATAAACACCCCAGGAGATATTTGAGATGGAAAAGTCAGCTTAACGTATAGAAAAGAAAGGACACAGAATTATGTAATAGAGAGCAAATCAGAAACGTAGATAAAGCATTCAGATATATAGGAATGATGAGAAAAAGATAATAAGAAAAGACTACACAGATCAATGAAGAAGAAGCCTTAAATTGTAGATGCTTGGAACTTAAAGTTGTTACAGGAGCAAAACAGGAATCCATCTAAAGCAGCGGTTCTCAACCTATGGGTCGCGACCCCATTTGGGGTCGATCGACCATTTCACGGGGGTCGCCAAGCAAGGCTGTCCGCCATTTTTTCCCCCTTTTCCGGCGGGTGCCTTACCTCCCTTGAGCTGGGCCAGCTGGTGGTCGGCCTGCCCCGTCTCTGCCGCTTGCCAGCTACGCCTCGGCCGGCGCAGGGGGCGGAACCACACATGCGTGGCGCTCCCGGGCAGGGAAAGTCCTCGACTTACGACCGGTTGGGTAGTCCTCGACTTAC